ACCACCAACTGTTCTGCCCCCCTGCCGGGTCCCTCACTGAGGCCGACGGGTAGCAGGAGTGTTGAACCCGAGCCGCGGGTTTGTGTCTTAGTGTCTGTGCCCGACTACTTTCCGAGAGGAATTTTATTGATCCTTTGATGTGTTGCTGTTTTCCTCGGGGTTTTAAAGGGTGGGAAGGATGGCTGTGATGGGGCTGGAGTTGAGTTTCCACTCCATCCTCCTCTACAAATGCAGTTAAATGTCAGAGAACAGTGTCTTCTTGCTGTTTGTTTGGGCCTGGTTTAGTATCTAGACATAATAGCACTAAAAATAGTTCCTTGAGATTCTTTACTAATCTGGGGTGTAAATGAGGCTTAGATTTTGATTATATAAATAAGTTTGTTTGGGAAATAAAAGCTAGGAGAGCCTCCTGAGCAGATTAATAACTGGTTTTTGTACGGTGTGACGTGCCCAGCTCCTGGGGACGTGCAGCGTGATGTTCTCAGATGCCAGGTCCGATCGCCTCCCCTGTGAGCTCGTGCCTTCGGGTTGTTGTAGCGCTTCTGGCACTTGCCCTGTAAGTCAGCTCCTAATTTTATCTCGTTACCCACACAGCTCGGTGACAGCGTGACAGAGCAGTGGAAAGGGAGTGACATCAGCAGACGAACAGATCGGTGCAGAGATTTTTTAAAATTTATTTATTATTTCTTGACGAAGAATAACGTCGTAAAGCCGTGTGGCGTGATTCCCCGTCACAAACTGCCGGCTGCGGGAGGCCGATCGTATCTGGGGTGGGTTTTGCAGGGTGATGGAACTGGCAGTGCTCTTTGTGTTCCAGTCGCCAAACGGGGTGGTATTAAACACCGAGAGTTTGCAGCGCTGTGCCTTTCGCTGAGAAAAGATGGGGTCAATCCGTGTATCGAAAAAGAAAACACAACTTCTGACACATCGAGAGGGGTGGGTGAGGTGAGGGGCTGCTTTTTGACCCTGGCTGTTCCCTTCGAACACAAAGGGAGACCTTTTTCTACCCAAGAATGTCTGGAGGGAGCAGGAATGATGAGGTTCATGTAAGAGGAACAACCACTTGGATAGTCTGCGAGGGATACGTGTGTATTTAGTGGGGATAATTGTTTTATATTATTCTGCCAGGATTTCTACGTGTGGAGGCAGCCTCTTTCGGAGAGGACGCGGTGTTTCCAACAACTGCCAGCGTTACAACTCGGGGGATATTGTAGCTGCTCGTCACTTTGCTCCTTGGTGAGGAGCTCCCCGGGTGTGGAGCAACTCTCTGGCCTGACTGGGGTGACTTGTGAACCAGGACTGTGCACGCCGCGCCTGCTGGCAGCTGTGGAGGGGTGAGAGGTGAAAACGTGGAGTATTTGACAAGAAGTGGTCTTGCCCAGGAGTAGGAAGAAACTGCAACAATAAAAAGGCTCTTTTAGGGAGGGGTGTTGCAAAGCTGAGGCTTGAAGGATTCCTTGGAATAAGTTTGTGTGTATCGAGCAAATAAAAGAGCTGCAGGTTTTGGTTTTATTTTTTTTTTCTGGAGGTGAAGCTGCAGGTTCTGGCGTCAGAGGATGCAGTCGGAGGAATTCTGGCGCGTGTGAGGGCGTGAAGGAAGGGTGTCCAGCCGTGCTCAGAGTCAAGGTGACAGTCACATTAATCAGATGTTTTTCAGATGCTGAGGTCAAGCTGACGCTTTGCAATTACAGGATCTTGTAGTCTCACGTACGGACCGTGACTGTAGACCCTGCAAAGCCACCGGGAATGTTGAAAAGTGGCTTTTGTCAAAGCCAGGAAGGAGAGAGGTGAGAGCAGAACGTGGCTGCCGTGTGGCTTGTCACACTTCAGTGCCCCGCAGTCGGGCTCGCCTGCCCTGGTTGAGTCACGCAGCGCCGCAGCTCTGACTCGCCTCCTTCGTCACGGCGCTGGAGCGAAATGAGTCGAGGTGCCCCGTCTGCCTGTCATCCCCCGCCACGCATTGAAGTTAAATTGTTAAATACAAGAGATATTTAAGGAAGCCTCCTTGGCATCCGTCACTTCCAGGAGGCCCTGACAAGGCACGACTGAGTTTTAAAAAGTGTTTTAAAGACTCTTGTACAGCTGCTTTTTGCAGGCAGAGGTAACCCCTTCCCCTTAATTTGACTTTGATTGTTTGCTGCTGGCAGTTGTATGACATCTCCATCCTTGCTGGGATATCTGTTTCCCTGCTGCCCGTTCCTGGCTGTGGCTTTTTCTCCCTCTTTGTGGGCAAGAGGCAGCTGCTCCGTGTTTTCCTCTGTCCTGCCTGAGCGGTCCCAAGAGGGGATTTTCCTCCCAGTCCTCTTAGAGAGAAAGAAAACAGCACTTGAGTTTGCCCTCGACGCGAGGCTCTAGCTGCGACCTCAGTGCCACAAGAAGCCACTGGATGGTTTCATTCTTACAAATCCATCCCATCACCTCCCAGTACAGAGTCTGGTAGGAAATTGAATCTCCCACCCACCCTTTGTCTTTCCCAAACGGTTTTTAACTCTTCCCTTCTAGATGGAGGCTACTGCGGGCCCGCGTGACCAAGAGCCAACGCTGCGGTTTAGCGTCTTGTACAGACTTGTGTTCATTCCCTGCTTACTGGGGTGTCGGGGAATTACTGTGCAAACCAGTTTCTTTACTGGATTGCACCTGCTCTGGTTTTTGACAGCAGGGTAGGCTCTGCTGGCAGCGAGCTTTCAGCGTACTTAAGCAAACCGGCCTGAAAAGTAGAGCTGCTGCATCCTGCCACAAGCTTGGAATTTCCTTCAGCATTGCCAGTTACCGGCTTGTGAAACTAGAACACTCTCAGGTAGCTGGTTTCTGGTATTTTTATTTTTTTTTTCCTTTTCCTTGATGATTAAATAAAGCCACGTCGCTGTTCTGCAGTCTCTTCTGCGGCCGTGAGAATCTAAAGATACCGGCGAGGTTGGGGAGGGTTACTTAAGGAGAGGCTGGGGCTGGAAAGCTGGCTTTATTTTTCTGTTTAGCAAGGTTTCTGTGTGTAATCGCTCCGATTGCAACACGCCGACACCTTCGTTAAGGTAGGTGCAAGCCTCGGGCAGAAGTTGACACGCTTAAAGCCGCGCGCTCCTGGCGTTCAGGGGTGATTAATACGTCTTTCCGCCGTATTGATGACTCGGCAGCGAAGGGAAGGAGAAGCTCGCTAAGGGCTTCTGCCGTGCTCCGACGAGTCCTTGGGTGCAGGGCAGGGACTTTTTGGGGAAGGAGGGTTATTGCAGCAAGCGCCAGGAATGTGGACCTGCCGGCTAGTCCTCCGAATGGCCGCAGGCGCTGGGGCTGAGCTGCCCCGGTGAAATCCAGCGTGTGGACTGATGCCCCCCCGTCGCCTGCCGCTGCGGCTCCTCTGCTCGAGAAGTTTGGCGCCGGTTCCCGCTCGGATCCTGGAACGTTTTGCTGCGTATTTCCGTGGCTCTTTACCCCGTCAGAGCTTTTTTGTGCTGGCTGAAGTCCTTAAAATGAAAGATGAGCGCCTCGCAGCTGCCCTCTCGCCGCGATACGCAGGCTCCCCGGTGTGCTGTAGGTGTATTCATGGCTTCGGTGGCTTTTCTCTTCTCTGCCTCTCGATTTGCAAGTCATCCTCTGATGGAGACGCGCTTTGTAGCGTGGCCGTACGGAAGAATGCGATAAAATGTGTGCGCGGGCAGGCTCGAACAACTCCAGGCTCCGCGACAAGCTTTCAGGTTTTTATTTTTATCTCCTTCCTTTCTAGGAAATAGACAGACGGTTGGAAAAGAAGCTGAAGATCACGCAGAAGGAAAGGTAATGATGCCGTGCAGCTCGGTAAAAAAAAACAAACAACAAAACCACAACCAAAAACCTGATTTTCCTGAGGTGCTGTTGGACATCTGAAAGCCTGGGGAGTGGGAGCAGCGGGGAAACGGCTTCGAGCTGAGCAGGGTTTGAGTTCAGAACCAGGGAATCTCTGTAATCGTGCCACTAGATGGCCCTTTCGATCCGTAGCAGGGTAGCAGAAAGCTTCTTGAGAGTGATTTTATTTCAGAGCCGGGTCTTCCAGACTGGATGTAGCTACAGCTACGGGGAAGCCAGTTAAGAAAAAGCCACTCAGAGGAAGAAATGGGTGAGTCAGGTAATCCCAACTCATGGCCCTACGTCGGCTTGCCGTGTCTTGCGTCACTAGGACTTTCTTTTCCTGCTTCTTCTGGGTTGGGCCGGGGGCGTGCGTGTTATTGTCTTCTGGCAGGAGTATTTCGAATCGTTTCTGACGAGTCTTTTCTTGTTGTTGTTAGGTTTCTCCCCCCTTTGATTCTTAGTAGTCCTCTTAGAGTCATGGTGTTACTTCTCTGAGACTTCCACACAGAGAAGGGACTGCAAAAAAATAAATTCAAAATTCAAACGGTGAGACAGGGGCCAGGGTTGGCTCCGAGAAGTGAAATGGCAGGGTTGGAGTGGAGGAGCCCTAAAAATCCTTGCAGGGAATGGAATCCAGGTACCCATATCTTCAAATGGAAATGGTGAAAGTTTTGCCTGGTGTTCTGCTTCCCTTTCCTTCGGTTGAGTTTAAAGATGTCGAATGCAGCAGGGCCTGGTTTTCTGTCCCTTCCTGAGCTAACCTGCAAACCCGCCTGCTGCTCTAGTTTAGGGTTATAAATATAACGAGGTCTTTAATTATTTCAGGCTACCTTCTTAATCACGGGAGTGACGTCTGACCGGGAGGAATTCATACACAGAGCGAAAAACTGTAAAAAACAAGCACCAACCAAACGCGTTCTGTTTTGTTTTTTGAACAGTAGGAAGTCAAAATCTCCTCCTAAAGTGCCGATCGTGATTCAGGACGACAGCCTTCCCGCAGGTCCTCCCCCGCAGATCCGCATCTTGAAGAGGCCGACGACCAACGGTGTGCTCAGCAATCCCAACTCGGCCAGCAGACCGGCCTTCCCCGTCAAATCCTTGGCGCAGAGGGAGGCGGAGTACGCGGAAGCCAGGAAACGAATATTGGGCAGCGCGAGCCCCGAAGAAGAGCAGGAGAAACCCATTCTCGATAGGTGAGGGACCCGTTCTGCGTAGGCGAGGGCAGCCTTCCCTTGCCTGTGCTCCTCACAGACCCCTTCCTCCACAAACACCTTCCTCCTCCTTGAAGAGCGAAAGCTGCTGAGGAGGGAATGCTTTGCTAGCGATCAGGGCGTCACAAATCTCAAAAATATGGGAGTTAAGGGAGGTGCCGGTGCCTGATGAGACCCTAAAGGTTATCTGAGACCCTCGGAGGTGGGTGCTGGGGGTACAGAGAGGGGAGCGAGGGCAACTCAAGTTACCCTGGTTTTCTCATCGTTCCTGAGGTTTTTTGATGTAAGGGAGCTGCCGGGAGAGCTCTGAAATGACCGCAGGTTATTTGAAGGCGCTGTCCTCACCCTTTGATTTGCAGCATGGGTCTCAGCTAACCTTTGGAAAGAAATGAAGTGCTGGTTCTTTTTTTTCTTTCTTTCATTTTTCCCCTCTTTAATTATTTTTTTTGGTCACGTCTCCATGTGTCCCTTGGCAGCACCTTCCCACGAGGTGAATGCACGCAAGCGTCCGGCCTTAACGTCGCCTCCCTCCCTCTTCCTCTCCTTTCTCCTCGCAGGCCGCCGAGGATCTCCCAGCCCGAAGACACCCGACAGCCCAACAATGTGATCA